GCGATACTAAAAACCACGATAATAAATAAATAGTTTCTGTTCTAAAATCGAATTAAATAACAGGCCTGTTCTAAAAACACACCCATACAAAAACCCCCACTGAAACATAATCAAACTACGCCAGGCCGGCCGCATGGAATAGATGGGCCTTCAGGGCTCGGCGAAAAAGGCGCAGGTCCGCAACTGTACGTAGGTCAGGGGGTAGGTCATTCCAGAGGGCAGGAGCTGCCACAGAGAAGGCTCTCCCCCTGGGGGTCGCCAGCCGGCATTGTCTGGCCGACGGCACTCTAAGGAGGCCCTCTCTGTGGGAGCGGACTGGTCGAAGGGAGGTGTATTGTATTGATTTTCTGTCATACAGTACCTGCAACGTGAATAATGGGTATTAATAAATGTTTGTTGACAAAGGTCTAACTCTTAAAGCAAACATCTTGAATTGTACTTTTCTATGAAATTCATTTGTTTTTTCTTAGCTCAGATTATACAAGAAGCTGTTGTATTTCTAAATTCTAGTGTTATTTTAAGCTTCTATTTATATCAGATAGAGCAGTGTAGATCAGACCCTGAACGTTTTTAGTTCTTTAAAAATTTGGCTTTTCTTCAAGCTGTGGAATAGATTGATGGTGTGCCCATTGATAGTTTTCGTTACGATTTTCTTTTCTTTTGTTTCTGAAATTGCATTCTTAATTTTTTAACAATTATTTAAGATTTACATATATACATCATGTTGAAGGCATAACATCGGTTTAATGTTAACTGTTTCAGGTCGTAACAAGTCATACATCTTGTTTCCTTGGCTTTTTTCCAAAATTGTCTAAATTTAAAAAAATATACACAAAAAGCCCAAAAAAAATTTTTTTAAAGGGAGTGACAAAAAAAAAGCAAAATGGGGAAGTTCAGACAAAAAGAGGGGAAAGGTTTTTTTAAAAAAAGTAATTTCCAACTTTCTTTGATAAAAATATTGACTATTAAGTTGCTTGTGGTTAACTCTGCAAGCTGCTTTTTTAATTAGACAGGATCTTGTGCATTATTTGAAATCATGCTTAAAATGTGGACTCTAATCCTGTTTAGAATTGCAGTTGGAATAATGAATAACTTAACTATGGAGGTGGAATGAAGAAAATATTGTAATGCAGTGGTTCTCAACCTATGGTCTGCAGACCCCTGGGGGGGCTGCAATGTCAGAGGAGGTCCGTGAAGGCTTGAAGAAATGTTATGATTTAAATCTTGAGTTAAGTCTTGATGGTCCGCAGCCACAAAAGGTATTTAAAGGGGGTCTGTGGTGAAGAAAAGGTTGAGAACTACTGTTGCAATGGATTTCCAAATTGGGTTCCTGAGATAGGGGATTATTAGGAAATTAAGATCAGAATAAAGCTTTGATTTCTTCATTCCCTAATAGTTTGCAGAATCAGAATCTTTTCTGATCAGTGAATGGCCTTAACAGAAGGACTACTTCTGTTACAAAATTCAGAACATGTGAGGAATTAATCTGTATAGAAATTCTATGTATGTATGCATGCTAGGTTGTATTCAGTGTTCTCTTCCAGAGAGCAGGATCTGTCTATTATATTATTTGGTAGGGATAGAGTTTGTACTTATGAACGATTGACACTTGGTGAGGATGTTTTAAACACTCTGAAACGCTGTAAAGAAAGTTTAAAATGTTGAGTAGATAAGAGATGCCTCTGCTGAACTGAACAAAGGTATGAATAAGGAGGTTGTTTAAAATGGAAAGTTATTTTTGTTTAACCAACGTTTAAAATCACATAGTTCTGACATTTGCAGTAGGCAGCCTATCGTGATGCTCCCAAGTCTTCAAACTGCCTACTCTGCTCTATTATTAGCATATTAATCATTCACTGAAAATAGTTATAGTTGATGTCCTAATTTTTAAATAGATGAGGATTTATTTCCATTTGAAAAAGAAGCAGTTATTCTATATTACTCTATTGTATGAAAGCATATTTTTAATGAGTAAATTTGTATCGCTTCCTATGAAGGAATTCAGAATCCTTTATGGCACACATATCTAAAAGCAAGAGATTCTTTGTTTAGTCCACCCTTTATTAATATTTTGTACTATCCAATGGATGATAATAATTAAGTGGATGTTTTGCCCTGAGAAATCGGTAGATATCCTGTGCAACTTCCGTTCGTGTATAAAGACGCTAGAACGTCGAGGTGGATAACAAATGAATTATATCATGTCTAAATCTCCGTCATTTACTTGTTCACCATGTGCTTCCCAATACCTAAATTGTTACATGGTTGACTTGTCTAAATAAGTAACGGAGAGTAAGTTATACGTAGGTTTCTGAAAATTAGCTTGTTTCAATTTGTTTCAGTATCCCATTTACTATTCAGCGACTTTGTGAGCTGCTAACAGATCCTAGGCGGAATTACACGGGAACCGACAAATTTCTCAGAGGAGTTGAAAAGGTAAATAGTGAATTGTTCTTGTTCTTGAACTAAAATTGTAGCTGTTTAAATTTGTTTAATCTTTTTAACAGAATTAATAGAGTTAACAATTTTGTTTTTTAATTAATTTTTAGAATTGTTATATAGTATAAACAGCAATTCTACTCCAGTTGTATTTCAGCAATGTTTTCAGTTGTTGCTTAATGAGTTTATATTTATTGTATTTGATTTGCATTTATTTGACTTTTTGACGAAACGCATTTACTGATGCTACCTCTTCCCATGTACACAGTACTATGGGAGATTGATCTGGCATGATTTTATTTATTTATTCATTGATTGATTTGATTTCTGCCCATCTCAACAAATGACTCTGGGTGGCTTATAAAAAAAACCAATTAAAATGATACAAAGAAAGATATGGCACCTAGTAAAACTGTTGCTGTGGATGTTAATACAACCAGGAAACGGGACTCTGAACATGTTCAGTGGCCCAGGCTCCGACACATAACCGAGTCTTCATGGCCTTGTGGAAAGCCAAAAGGGTCGGGATCATCCTGGTACTTGAAGGGAGAATATTCCAGAGGGCAGGGCGATGGCAGAGAAGTCGTGTCTCATGGTTCCCCTGGCTGACATTCCTTGGCTGACAGGACCTGCAGCATGTCCAACCTGCCTGATAGAACTGATAGCAACAATTGGGAGAAGGTGGCCTTTAGAAAACCTGGCCCTCAAGCCATGAAGGGCTTTAAAGGTAATAACCAGCATCTTGAATTGCACCTGGAAGCCTACTGGCAATCAGTGCAGCTCACGAAACAGTGATGCTGTCGACAATCCTACCGGACCCCTGAGTAAAGAAGGACGCAAAGGCAACCAGACTCAGGAAGCAGCGGTTTACTTTAAGGCATTGTTGGCATCAGAACAGACATACAGCATCAAGGCTCCTTGCTGAACAAAGTTCGTGCTGGGAGCAGCTGCCTCCCGGCGCAGGTTAAATACATTTGCTTCAGTGCTACCCCACCCTCTGCCCAATTAGCTAGCAACCCCACCCTCCGCCCAACTAACCATCAACCCCACCCTTCAATCATCTAACACCCCCACCCTCCAATCACCCAATCAGCATCCGGCCATAGTTAGCTCCGGCCCGCCGGAGTATCGCGGCTCGAGCTTCTTTGCCGAGACGGTGAGCTGCATGGGGACCGGTGCTGTCCGTCCTCTTCCCCACCGCGCCGTCCTTCACCTTCCCCCACCGTGCCGTCCTTCACCTTCCCCCCTCCTGTATGTTGAGCCCGGGAGGGCTTGACAGATGCTTCATGTGTTGAATACCTGACCCCCATTACTACCTATGCACCTGTTGAACTTTCCAAATGCTCTTCAGTAGTAGCCCCATATAAAATGCATTGCAGTAGTCCAGACAAGAAGTCACAAGGGGGAAGAGTGACTGTGAGCAAAGCCAATTCAGGAACAGGTGCAACTGGTATACAACACTAGGCTGTACAAAGGCACTTCTGGCTATGACTTCCATCTGGTCTTCCAACAGGCTCCATGAGGACCCCCATATTGCACACCAGGTCAATCTGGGGCTGTGCTACCACATCCAGGACTAACGGGAAAACCTGCTCACCCGGACCCCTAAATACCCAAAGTCATTTTGTCTTGCTTGGATTGAGTCGAAGGCCATTGCAACCCATTCAGACCATTACAACCTCTAGACACTGAGATAGGATGTCATGGTATCACTCAGGCAGCCCAGGGTGGAGTTATAAAGCTGGGTATCATCAGTATATTGATGATAGCTCCCCCCAAACTGTTAAATCACCTTCCCCTAAGTGGCCACATGTAGATGTTAGGTAGAACAGGAGAAAGAACTGAGCCCTGAGGTACCTTACAGAGTAGGGCCATAGGCTGAATCTCCCCCTCCCTCCCTCCAATCTGGATCTCCCCCTTCCCATCAACATAGACTGGAACCAACCCTGGAGGAAGGAGGAAAACCATTGCAACACAGTGCTGTCCACCCCTAATTTCCAAAGCCGGTCTAAAAGGTCACAAAGGGTGAGGATGGTCATACTGCCCCAACCCCACTACCCCACCAATTAGGAAAGAGTAGGCAGTCTGAAAAATAATTATTTGAAAATAAATGGAGGAAGACAATGTGTATGTGCATGTTTTCGAGTTAGTGTTGACTCCTGGCAACTGCCTGGACTTGGCAATTTTCTTGGCGAGGGTTTTCGGAAGTGGTTTTCTATTTCCACATTCATAGGGTTCATAGTGAATTACTTGCCCAGGTCACCCAGCTGGTTTCATGCCTAAGACAGGACTAGAATCCCTGGTCTTCTGGTTTACAGCCTCATGCCTTAACCAAACTGGCTCTCAGAGGAAGATGATGCCATACCATAAAATAGGTTCAGATTGGCTGAGAATTGGGAGGTAACATTGCTTAGGTCTGGGAGACAGAAGTTTATGTCTGTGACGTAAACAAAGAGCTTGAGAAGCTGATGAATCAGGTACTAATAAGGACCAACCAAAGAATCTAGGACTACAAGAAGAATGGTTGACTTGTAAAGTATGCTTTTACTTTTCCCATAAGTCTTGATGTTTTCTTTTTTTCCTATCTCACAGAATGTTATGGTTGTCAGCTGTGTATATCCTTCTTCAGAGTGAGTATGACCTTCGTTACTATTTATTTTAAAAATGAGACTGCATCCTTGTTGAGATTGCAGTGCATTTGTTATTTATTGATGGTGTACTTGGGATTGAGGGGAGCAGCATAGAATTTTTCCTGTTAACAGGTACTCTGGGATCAGTTTTACTTATTAGGAAATAGAATAGCAACAAATTAGCCTATTTTTAAATGGTGGGAAGAGCATACAAATGGTAGAGTAAGATGGACTTGCTTTTGGGTGATTGTTTTTATATGGTGGGAGATTGGAGACTACCTGATCTGCTACTTTCTTGGAAAGAGATTCGACATTCGCTAATAAACCAACACAGCTTGGGCTGTGGAAGGAGAGAGCTATGCTAGACCTCTGTTCTTGCTTTGTCCCCCATAGTGTTACCAAAAGCAGGAGACTGCCTTGGGTGCCAGTTTTTGACAGCTGATACACAGCTGTTTTGTTCTGGAGGCACTATTTGTGATTTGCTTGGAGGTGGCTGCAGAGATGCTGCATTTGGCAACAATGCTGGTTTTTCAGTGGCCAGCAGCAAGGTGTTTGGCTGAAAAGGAGCTGCTGCAGGCTAGAACTGGGCTCTTGCAGATAGCCTGCAGCACTGGATCACCAGACAACAGTGTTGGCTAGTTGTTCAGTGTGTGTATTGCTGAGGGCTCGTGACCGCATGTCGCCCTGAGAAGGAGCGGTTTGATTCAGATTTAACATTTTGGATGACGGGAGACCTCTGTGATTTTTGGTTGCCCTTTGGTAGGGAGCTAGCATCAACAGAGAACTTTCGCCTCAGTACAGCTGTCAATCTATTTGGTAGACATCTCGGTCTTCTTTCTCACCTATGCTGGAAAAAAGTCCTGGATGAAGTGGATTATTATCTTTCAGTTGGGTTTCAGGCCTGGATATGAGACTGAGATGGTAGTTATAGCGTTATAGAGTCACATCATCATGATTTGCAACTTTTTAACCACTTTCTGGCAACACCCCCCCCCGCCCATTCCCAGTTTGCTTAATGACTGTGTGATCTGCTTAATGACCACAATAAAAAAATGTCAAAAAAAATTGGGTTCAGTCATTTTTGGGATTTCTTGTCCCAATTGTCCTAAGTCAAGGGCTATCTGTATAAAATCTGGGATACTTCATCTATGTTATAAGACATACTTTGTTTCAATATAAATTGACAAGGAAGTTGTAGGGAACTAACAAATGAAAAGAGTTTATAGGTAGTCCTTTTCTAGTGACTATAATCGGGATTGGCAACTCTTGTCATTAAGCAAAGCAGTCACTGAGCAAAACCGTGACTGTTTTATGAGCTTATTTCAGGCCTGCAAAGGTTGTAAATGCAAGGGTTACTCACATAGTTACTTTTTCATCACTACTGCAATTCTGAACAGTCACTATATGTGGCAGTCTTTGAAGAAGGACTACCTGTATATTATCCATGGTCTCTAATATAATATTTTCAGAAAGGGAAGGAGGAACTAGAGGCAAGAATGTATATTAGATGGTAAAAAAATCAAAGATTTTTTTTTGTTCTCCAGTACACAGTTGGCTTTTGTATAATTGAATAGTTTTTTTAGTACTGTTGGGAAAAAATAAACATAGCAGGTTCTCTTTAATAAGTGATTAGAATTATACGAATTTTAAAGGGGGGAACTAGAAACAAAACTTCTAGGAATCTGGAGGTGTTTGTTCTTAGCCAAACTGTTTTTTAAAAAAACTATATATTGCAGAAATCTCAAAACACGTTTATTTCTTGCAGGAAAAATAATTCCAACAGTTTAAACAGGATGAATGGTGTAATGTTTCCAGGAAACTCACCAGGTTATTCAGACAGGTAAGAAAGAGTACTTAAAATGAGCACATTCTAAACAATATAAGATGATGGATTAGTATTAAATTTCCAATGTTTATTTTTTAAAACACTTGGATATTTAATCATAATTCAAAATCTTTGCATGCGTGTGTGTGTGTGTGTGTTATACTTTGTTATACTAACATACTCTCATATGAAAATATTTTGTATAATTGAATAGTTTTTCAGTACTGTTGGGAAAAAAATGTGACTTTCATTATTAAATAACGGGGGGGAGACAATTTATAATAAGAATAAATTGATATGTATTTTGGGATCTCAGGGAAGTATGACTTTCCAGATTTGATTAATTAGACATTTTCTTTGCAGATCTAATATAAATGGTCCTGGGACACCCCGGCCTGTAACTCGACCAAAAGTTTCTTTGTCACCTCCTATGACTACAAATGGTTTACCAGACAGTTCCGAAAGTAAGGAGCTGAGTCTCCTGCAAACTGAGGAGAAAATTAACAGGTCTGTAAGAGGAATATGTCTTCAGACACCTTGGTTAGACTCTTGAGATTAACGTTTTTATTCTTAATCCCATTCTCCCTTGAAAGTCTTATGTTTTATTAATATGCCATGTTTAGTCCTCAACTTAAAACCATTTCTTCAGGGACTGTCCAATGTTAAAAATAGCACTGAACCAAGGGATTTACAGCCTGTAGACCAAGGGATTTACAACCTTGGACCTGAAGTTATGGCTATCAAAGCATCCAGTGGTTGCATAATCAGAATTTGGGCGATTGGCAGCCCACCAGCACTTACGAGCCAAGGGGCGCTTCCACCCCGGGCACCACTGTTCAAAGCTGCCGTTCCCCTGTAACCTTGTATTCACACTTTCCTCCAGTTACTGATGAGGTGTGCTTGGCCTGCTCTTAACGTTTGCAACAAGCATTTTTCTCGCATCATTCTCCAAGTCACACACACCATTTATGCTCCAAATAACACACTCCATTCTTGCAGTGCTTTGGAAAGTCTTCACAAAGCTTTTGAGGTATTCTGAAGCATGGGAAAGAGGTCCTCTCCATTCTTCAGATAGCACGCCCGTTCTCATGAGATCTGGGGAAGACCTCAGTTGTTTCCTGAAAGCTTTCCGAAGCATTGCAAGAGAGGGGTGCGCTGCTTGGAGAATGAATTATATGCACAATTTGGAGAACAGCACAAGAGACTTTGCAAGAAGGCCTGGCACAGCCAGCACCTGTCTTAGATACAGTAGCGTCAGGCTGGCTACATCTCAGCAGTGGCAGAAAAACTGCAAAGATCAGCTGGATGTGGAACAGAGAGTGGCCAGGATTTCTTGGGATGCAGTGGTTTTGTGCTACACTACTGGCCAGGCTGGAGTGACTGTGGGTGTGACTTTGCTGTGGCTCAGGGGCTTCTTTCACTCCAAGAAGCCTCCGAGCTGCAGTGTATTCCTTTCCTGGCCTACCTGTGCTCGTTCCACATTGCCCCCACCACCCCACTTAATCACCCACTCATTTAAGTTTAATAGTAATAATAATAATAATAATAATAATAATAATAATAATAATAATAATAATAATAATA